GTTCTCTGGGCTGCCTGAATCTATGGTTTTGTGTTTGTCATTAAGTTTGGAAAGTTCCAGTCCTTGTTACTTCAAATAGTTCTCCTGTTCCATTCTCTCTTTCTTCTTCTCTTTCAGTTAAGATGTGAATGCTGTATTTTATAAAATTATCTCATAGTTCTCATATGTCCTGTTCTTTTTTCCATTCCTTTCTCTCTTTGCATTTTAACTTAGGAGTTCTTATTGATCCATGCTGATGCTCACTGATTTTCTCCTTGCCCATGCTCACGCTACTGATGAACCCGTCAAAAATGTTCTTCATTTTTGTTAGTGTTTGTATTTGTAGCCTTTCTTTTTGTTGTTGTTGCATTTAATTTTTAATAAAAATTGCATATATTTAAATGTACAACATGGTCATTTCATGCATATATGCATAGTGAAATGATCACTTCAGTCAAACTCATTGACATGTCATCTCATATAGTTACCATGTTTTTTTGTGTGTGTGATGAGAACACCTGAAGTTTAACCCTGGAATATTTGAGTATTAAATGTAGTATTGTTAACTGTAGTCATCATTCTATATATTAGATCTCTAGACTTATCTTACAAAGCTGCAATACCTTCCCATTTCACCCCCCTTCCCATTCCTCATATTTACTGTTCTACTTCAACTTTTTTGTATTCCAAATATAATTTGAGTTCATGTAGCCTTTTTAAATTCTTTCTTAGAATTTCCACCTCTTTGCTTACCCTCTTCACATGCTCTAATTTCTCCATTATAATCCTTAGCCTATTGATCATAGTTATCTTAAATTACTTCTCTAATATTTCTAACATCTGTGCCATAGCTGAGTCAGATTTTTATGCTTTCTTTGTCTCTTCAGATTGTAGTTTGTTTTGTTTTTTGTCATGCCTCATAAGTTTTTACCGAAAGCCAAGATTGGTGTATCAGGTAATAGGACGTGAGGTAAACAGATCTTTGGTGTGGAGCCTTACATTCACCTGGCTCAGTGCTGGATGGTATTGTTTGTTGTAGCTGTAGGTGCCAGAGGATTTGAATTTCTCCAGTGTTCTCCATTTTGTCTCTCCTCTGGACTTGGGGCTTCCCTGACTTCTGTTCCTGAGAAAGTGTCTGCTTCGTATAACTCTTTCAGCTGAAATCCAGGCATTATCCTGGGGACCTGTTTGTGTGATAAGGTGTGGGGAAAGGGAGACAGTCTATAATCTTATGATTAAATCTCAGCCTTTCAGAGGGTCTGTCTCTCTGGCTGGGCTATTCACAAGCATTTCTTAGTTTTTCTACTTCCCCATAAGAGAGACAGAAAGGCTAAAGGGGGGTGGAGTGGGAAAATGCCTGTCCCTCAGCTGGGATGAGGCTCTGGCACGCCTACGTGATGGAGGGTGCCCTGAGCACATTTACAACCATTGTCCTTCCTTTCCCTGTGTCAGAGCTGTGAAAGGATCTTTCTCAGATCCTTAGCTTGAGAAACTGATGGGCTTCTGTTAGGTAAAACCCACTGAAGTGGGGAGGACCCCCTACAACTGCAGTCCTCAGGAGTTTCTAGTTCTCACGCTAGTCTACACCCAGACTCCAGCAAGTTACCAAAATTACCATTTAAATGTTCCTATCAGTGTATAGCTCCAGGGGCTTCTACTCCCGGTAAACAGATACTGACTCGGCTCTTTGGATTTACTTGTTCTACAGATTTGGGATTGGCATTTTTGCCCTGCACACTCAATTCTCTAATGAGTCTAAGCAAAGTTGATTTTCTGTCTGTTCAGCTCTTTCTTGTAAGAATAACTGTGTCAGGTTCTAAGCTGTTTCCATGTTGGAGCTGAAACCAAAAATCCATTTCCTGTATTGTCCCTATCAACTTTATTATCATTATGCCTATTTTAAACGAGGAAAATCAAGCCCAGACTGCTTAGCTCTTAAGCACCATGCAAAACTGCCATGTGCATCCAAGTTGCCTCGCCACACACTTGTCTGACTATCTGCCTTCTGTTTGGTGTGTGCTCGCGTCTCCTCCTGCTTGCCCACTTTCCCTGAGAGAGTTTAGTCAAAGGTAAGTGTTGCTATCGTCATTCACCTATGTGAAGCCTTTAGCAGCTTTCCATGGCCCACTGTGCCACCTGCAGACCTTGCCTGCCCCCTTCTCCTGCTCACTTCGGCCACTGAGGCTGGCCATCCTGGGAACACATCCCAGTCCTTGTGGGGCTGGAATGCTGTTTCTCCCCACTCCTGCATGACTGAGTCCTTTTCAGTCTTTGGATCAGTTTCCAATTGAATGGTAGCTTTACAGGTCTCTGCCTATGTTTCTCTGTCTCAGACCATCGTTTTTCCCTTAATAATCATGTTCTACAATTGGTAACCCCTTTGTTGTGACTTTTTTTTGCCATCTTCCCCAGTGGATTATAAACCAAAAATCCATGAGGGTGGGGCCCTGTTGGCCTTATTCTGTTGTATCCCTAAGGCCAAAGACAGAGCAAGGCACATAGTAGGCATTCAGTAAATATTTCTGAGCAAAGGAATGATTAGACTAAGCCAAACTGAATAGATTGAAAGTAGATTATTTTGCACATGAGTTGTAATTGCTGAAAGAAGCCTTTCAGGAGGTACAGAGAGAAAGAGAAGAAATATTTTCAATAACAATAACAACAACAATAATACTAGCAGCCAAGGCCTGCTGGGTACTTCCTATGTGCCTGGTACTGCTGAAAGCCCTTGTTCATGAACTCACTTAAGCTGCATCTCAGCATGCATGGTGTGGTAGGCATTATCACTATTGTCATTTTATGAATGGAAAAACTGAGGCAGAGAGCATGTAGGTACCTTGGCCTACATAACACATCCAGAAAAGGATAAACATAGATTTGACCCAAGAAGTCTGGGCTCAGATTCTGTGCGCTTGGCCTTGAAGCTCACCACTGCTCAGGGCTTGATGCATCCCAGACTTCTCCCTTGGATTCAACCCCATTAGCTAAAAAACAACTCTGACTCCACAGCCGGGAGAAACAGCGAGGTGGTGGACTCCATTAAACTCCATGATGAGGTCTAAGGATCCTTTAAAGAGTGTATCATTGGAGTTATTATTAACTAAAGACCTAGTTGAGGTTTTTGTTTGCTTTTAGATATGCGGGAGATGAAATCAATGAATTTTAGCCATCATTTGTGCCTACAGGAGAGGGCAAAATGAGCTTTGGTTTGGGTAATTCATTGCCTTTGGATTTCACTTCTCCTTCTAAGAGAGTTGTCTCTGGTCTTTTTATAGCATGAACATCCTGGAGTTGGACACCCAAGAGGGCGGAAGAGGCAGAGTGGGGTTACACGCACATAGAAGTTCCACGGAGGGACAGCTGCCAGGAGTGCGCCTCATGCTCATGGGTGCCTCTGAGGGGCCGAAAGTGCAGGAGTTACTGTAGTTGTGTTTGTCTAGTGAATAGAAATGAACAAATCAGCTTCTGTCAGGGTTTATCATGAGCTATTTTGCAGCGCAAGAGGAAGATAAATTGCTTCTGTGAAATACATTTCACTCTGAGGTTTATTTTGCAGTACCTTGCCATCTCCCGTCTGCCACAATATTATTTCAAATGCAATTAGCAACAGATGGAAGACCTGCACTGCAAATTAAGAGGCAGAGTTGCCTACACATTTTTTAAAAAGCAGGTGAAACTTGAATATGGGGAAGAATGTTTTTAAACCCCAGAAAACAAGTGCCTCCGTAGTTGGGAAAAGTTGAGCCCTGACCTGGATGAGTGAATGCCCAGGAGGGGCAGTGAGAATGTGGGCTTTAGTGGGTGCACATTTCCATCATGGGGCCATGGGCAGAGTACTCAACTAAAGGTGCCCTTTCGTCTTCTGTTCACTAGAAGTAGTGCTGATAGCATTTAGTGCGGATGAAGCCATGGACAGTAGGGGAGTGCCTGGCTGGGGTCAGTGCCCACTCTTTGTTAGCTGTTATCATGGACATTTGCATCCTTCTTCATCAAGCCCAGTTCACGATGGCCACATGTTTCCTCTGGCACCACTGGCATGGACTCTGAAGTAGAAAAACAAAAAACCTCCAACTTCCCCGCCCTGGCTGGCGTGGCTCAGTGGATTGAGCACGGGCTGCGAACCAGGCATCACAGGTTCGATTCCCAGACAGGGCACATGCCTGGGTTGCAGGCCATGACCCCCCCAGCAACCGCACATTGATGTTTCTCTCTCTCTCTCTCTCTCTCTCTCCCTCTCTCCCTCTTTCTCCCTCTCCCTCCCTCCCTTCCCTCTCTAAAAATAAATAAATAAAATCTTAAAAAAAAACAAACCCCTCCAACTTTAAGCCCAGGGTCCCAACCCAGCTCCTCTGATGCTTGACTAGTGGTGTGTTCAGGATGGTTCTCTCTGACCTCAGTTTCCCCCTCAGGAGAATGAAGGAGCTGAAATGTTTTTCTCAAGCTTAAGGGGGGTTACTAGAGTGAAGGGCAAGGACAATGTAAAGCACCGTACATGTTGTAAGGTGATATGTAATGCTGGTGTCTGAAGTAAAGGCTGCCTGCAGAGAGGTAATACTCTGAGGCTCTCGCACGTTCACGATTGTTTGGACTGAATAAAGCTTGTAACAAAGTACCTGAGACCTCTGATGAGCGAATTGGACTGGTGTCTCCCTGATGGCACGTTATAGTATCTGCGGGGTACGCAAACTACAGGTACTAGAGTCCTGAGACCCCATGTCCGTATTTTTCAAAGCATTTCAGATATTGGCTAATGCATAGTCGGGGCTGGGAAATACTGAATTAGTATACTGAACAACCTGGCCGTTGTATCATAGAGGGAACCTGGTATCATTCAGGGGTCTATGAGACTGGGAGGCTTTGGGTTTCTGAGTTGAAGTCATTTGTGTTTGTTCAGGATAGAAATAAGAGACAAAAATCCGTTCTTCCTATCATTCATTTAGTAGGTGATGTTGAAGAAGTGATATTCATTCAAACTAATGTGTTTACCTGTTACATTATGTCCAGGAAGGATTCAGACTCCAATGTCATATAAGAAACTGCTGTGCCCTCACCAGAACAATATCCCCAGTTGTCCTGCTGTAAGCATAGCTTCTTCGAAAGAACAAAGCCATGGAGAAGTCAGTCCCTTCTTAGCACCATCCAGTGGATGGGACGAGACCCCACTGATCTTCACCGTCAAACGAGAAATTAATAAGAGAGACAGAGGAGTACCCAAGCAGAGCTGGAGCTGTCTATCCGCGGAACAGCGAGTGACAGAAAAGCCTCTCGGATGTTACCCGGTATACCCCGTGCACCTGGAGGCTATAGGTACACACATCAACAGACACGTGAGGACTCGGAACCAGCCCTCCCCCAGTTCCAAGAGAGATCCTGTCCCACTGGGTAAGTCTCACTTTGTGATTCCTATTTCTTTTTTTTCTCTTTTCAATTGGTCATATTTTATTTCTTTATTTTTTAAAAGATTTTATTTATTTATTTTTAGAGAGGGAAGGGAGGGAGAAAGAGAGAGAGAGAGAAATATCAATGTGTGGTTGCTGGGGGTCATGGCCTGCAACCCAGGCATGTACCCTGACTGGGAATCGAACCTGCGACACTTTGGTTTGCAGCCTGCGCTCATTCCACTGAGCTATGCCAGCCAGGGACAATTGGTCATATTTTATTTTTAATGTCAATATAAACAACAAAGTTACTGACTCAATGGCAAGTCCTATTCTAGAAAGTTCTATAAGAACTGTATCAGACAGTTCTTAATGAAAGCCTACCCACTGCTAAGCACTGTATTGGAGGAAAGGACAAGTGTGGGTAGCTAGCATTAATTTGGTGATTGAGGGATTGCACCAGATAATAATAATAGCTATTTTTATTATCATGCTAGCACCCATTTATTAAAGTTCTCACCATATGGCAGATATAGTGCTGAGCATTTCACATTATTTTATGAAATTCTCCTATAACACTCTTAGGCAGATAATGTGATAATCCCTATTTGAAGATTAGAAATCTGTGAATTCCTAGCATAGGATAAGATACATGATAATGAAGTGTCTCAAAATTACGAATAGGAGGAATGATTAAAAGTAATGAGATAGATCAGAGGGGATGAGCTTTGGAGCCAGGAAGATCTGGACTCAAATCTCTGCTTTTTTCCATTTCATTTCTGTAGCCATGATCAAGTCCCACAAATGTTCTCTGAGCCCAGTATTTCCATCTGTAAGCTAACAGTAATTCCTGCCTTGAAGAGATGCTGTAATTAGTGGATTGGTATAAATAAAGATCCACAAACATAGCAGGGACTGAATAGTGGTGGTGACGATGGTGGTGGTGTTTATGGTTCTGACTGGAGGAGAAAATACGTAAGGAACCAACGCACATCTCCAAATATTCTAGGAACTGCCATGTGGAAGAAGAACTGGACTGATTTTATGTACCTTTTTAAAAAAATTTTTCTCTAAATGTTTGACAGTTTGTTGGACTTGACCAATAGTAGAGACAGATTTTTTAAAAAGATTTTATTTATTTATTTTTAGAGAGGGGAAGGGAAGGAGAAAGAGAGGGAGAGAAACCTCAATGTGTGGTTGCCTCTCATATACCACCTACTGAGGACCAGGCACCCAACCTAGGCATGTGCCCTGGCTAGGACTGGAACTGGCAACCCTCTGTTTCACAGGCCTGTACTCAGTCCACTGAGCCACACCAGCCAGGGCAGAAAGAGACAGATTTTGACACAATAAACAGAACTTTCTTTGAACCAGAGGAGAAAGTACTGTTTGGGCCAAAAGTGTTAAAAGCAGGGGCTGGGAGACTGTCTACCAAATATGCTGAGTCAGGGATTCCTTCATCTCTGGGAAGCGGGGCTTGAGGAGGGGATGCCAAGGATGCTGCCTGGTTAACATTTTTTGAAGTCTCATTATGTGCGAGGCAATGCGCTAAAGTCTGAACATGCATCCTCAGTTTTGATCCATATGGCCACCCTCTGAGATTGCAACTGTTGTTTTCCCACAGTTTAGAGACAGAACTGGAAGCCGGTCGAGATTCTGTAATTTGGCCAGGTTTCAACCCTTCAGTAGAGGTCACAGAATTCCTCTAGTAAGATTCTAAATATGACAATGACAGCTCTTGGGTACCGAACACTTACAATGTACTAGATGCTTTGCATTTTCTCAAGCTCTTCTCTCAGATACTTAACTAATTTGCTTTTCCATTTTCTTCAGGTCTTTACTGAAAGGTCATCTGTGCGGATCTATCCTAACCTTTTCTGCTTATTTTTCTCCTTAGGACTAACTACTAGTTGACACTTAAACATTTCTTCATTTGCTTATTTAACAGTTTACATCCTCTCCCCACTCTTTCTTCCCACAACTGTAACGGAAGCTTTATAAGTGCAGGGATATTGGCAGCTTTATCCTTTTCTCCATCTCCAATGTCTAGAACACGGCCAGACACATAACAGCCACTCAAATGTTAATGGATGAATAAACAAATGAACAAACTTAATCCTACTAGCAACTCTGGCAAATAGGTAATATAATCCTCCTACTTCAGTTAAGGCTTAGGAGATGTGCTAGGATTTGAATCTGTGACGGTCTGACCCCAATGCCTTCTTTAATCCATTTTACCACACTGCCCCTCTAAAAACAGTTACAGAAATGCGTCGTTATCACAGTTTATTCAGGGAAGGGATGTCTATCACTTGTTTCAAGGCAGAGGACAATGTATTCTTCTAGGTCATATGTTTTGCTCCAAATTCCAGAGCCACATCCATGTTCTCTTGTGGAGTCTTCTTGCTCTGATTATTGATGACGATAAATGAGTCATCTTCCAAGACTGAAATTCAAATTGACAAGCAGCTATTAAGCATTTTGTTTTTTTTATGCTTTTAATTTTAATTTTTTCCATATTTTTATTGTTGTTAAAGTACAGTCGTCTCCATACCACCCCCCTCCCGCCACTCCCCGTTACCCCAGCCATCCTCACATAAGCATTTAGTTTTCACAAGGCAATGTGTTTGGCTCTCTGAAAGCACGGGCACTCACCCGGAGATACTGAAGGGCCATCCCACCTTTATTTCCAGGAAATGATTCTCACAGTGGAGAAATCAAGCACATTAAAAAATGTTCACTCTTTGATGAGGGTATGTTGAGTGTGTCATGGGCCACATGGGCTCCATACAAACCGAGTATAAAACAGTGTGTGATGAACTAAACTGAATTACTTAGACATAGGGTGGCTATTGCCACCCGCTCTTACAAAGGTAATGCGCATTTTAGTTCTTTTACATACTTTTGAACTTGCAAATGATCTTGTAGGTTGTATAAATATTTTAGACATCTATATGCTATTTAAACATCTTCAAAATCTTGTAGAAAGTGATTTAAAGCACATGAATTATCTTAGCTACTTCAAAATTGGACTTTAATTTGTGTAGGTCAATGGGCAGAATTTCTCTGGTAAAAACTTCAAGAATGTATACATTTGAGATATATATGCACACACATAGAAATGCAGGTGGAAAAATATATACATTTCTTTTATAATATTGGCTATATTATCACAAAATACCTCATAGTTTACACACAAGAAAAGATTTGGTTGAGCAAAGAAAGAATATATAAAATCTAGTATCATTAGGGAGTATGTAGGTGTTGTATAGACCCAGCCTCAGAGTAATTCACTAATTGCTTTCATTTTCAGCTTGTTTGAAATGCCTAATAAAACTCATGAAGTAATTGCTTCTTGGATTTTTAAATGATCAGTTGTAAATCTAAATGGGTTGTGGATTTTTTTTTTTGCATGAGCTATAACCCCAGTTAATAATTTTTACTCACAAACTTTCCCCAAACTTAGAATCTGAGGCCCCCATTTTAGTCACCAGTTCTTCTCGTTCCCTCTCTTTAGAAGTTTTGAACAGTTTTCCTTGAAATAAAGGTTTGTGAGGATTCTGTAAAAATTATGTGGAGGAGTGCTTTCAAGCAACAGGAAAGGGACAGATAACGTTTTATTTTCTTAAAGAAATGTAAGGGGCACGTGAGGGTAATAATGTCAGGGGATTTTTTTTTCTTTCTCAATACATTGCAGGTGTTGATTTCTCAAACATTCAGTTATGAAGGAGAGCCTTTTTTTTTTTTTTTTAAAGTCCTGGCGGGGGCGGGTACATTCCACACACTCCGGTGTTACTCCTACCCTTCTTTGCCCTCCAGGTCCTGCTGCGAGGCCTTCCACTGTCATCGGGATCTGCAGGGGAAGCCAGATCTCCTGCGCCCCTTTGAGGGTCTGCAGGAGTTCCTCCGAGTCGCAGGTGGAGGAGACGAAAGCAGCCGAATTGGGCGCTCCGGCCAACCCGGATTCCCAAAGCGCCCTCCAGGGTGCGCCCGGAAATCCAGTCGGAAGAGGCGCAGTTGCCATGGCACCAGAGACCTCCCCAAGCATCCTCATCCCCTGGGGAAAAGGGGGCCCAGGGCAGATGCCTCCCTCCCTGGCAATCTGGCAGGAGCACCCCTTACTCAGTTTGCCGGGTCTCCCACCCAGCTCCCATCAAAGGGGTTAATCAAGGCTTGGTCTTGCCCCTCCATGCGCCCACCCCAGCGCTTCCAGACGGCTTGTTCACAGGCCCCTCCCTGGCCGGGGGTGAATGCTCGCTGACGCTGACCGCTGCGAGGGGATTGTTCTGCGAGGGCGGCCCATCTTCAAATCAATGCCTGCGCAGGACAACAAAAAGGGCCTCAGATGCACTGGTTTCCACAGAACCATTGTTAGGCTTTTGTGAAGCAGTTTTGAACCTAATAAATAATGTCAAAAGTCTCTGTCGCAGCCAAAAATGTTCCTTTTGAAGCATTTCTAATGGTATTTTTGTTCCGCGGTGTCCCCCGGTGTCACAAAGAATTTGTGCCTCACAATGGGAATGGGGTACATCGCGTGCCACTTCGTATGTGCCTCCAGGGACTGCGAGGACCCCGCTTTGTTCAGCTCGCGCAGGTAAACGGTTTCACTTGCCAACTTGGGATTTGGTTGAAGGATGTTTTTCTAAGGGCCTTTTGAATTTCTAAACAGAGGTTTGGAAAACGTGAGCGCATGTTTGTAATTTAATAGTTAACATGAAATTCGATGACTCCTGAAGTGGCGAGGAGAATTCTACAGGCTGTATGAAGGTTTTTATGTCCGAAACCTGAAGCGGGATCCTCCTTTGAGGCCCTGAAACACTTGGAACTAAGTTTAATGCAAAAGAGATACTGAATGTTCTGATTTGTAATAGAAAAAAAAACACTGGAGCAGTTTAGGGAACGTTTTTGTCAAAGTGGATACGTTAGGCACTTGTTTTTCATTTTAGTTAAGTTAAACAGAGCAGAGATTGATTTTATCAGATGATTTTATGGGTTTATTTTTTTTTCTTTTTCATGTAGTGTATTTTTCAACATGGAGAAACACAAATCAATGTGACCAGTACCTCCATATACACTCAAGTTCCTTGAAATACTCCCAGACTGGGATGCACATAGTTGGATGCACAGAGTTTTGGTACACGGTATGATGCTCCCACCAGCTGACCCAGCCGGCCAGGCCTAGAAGCTGCTTGTGATATAGTAGCTGGATTCCTTCACCTGAAGCGAAAATGAGCAACTTTGCTGAAAAATATAATACAAAAGAAACAATTCTCTTCAGAATTGAGAAAAGGGACATAGGCAAAAGATGTAAAATATGGGATATACCACACTCTAAAGCAATTCCCCAAAGTGTGTATTATGCGACACTGAAATTTTATATATTATAAAAGGAGATTATAAATAGAAAGATGTTCTGGGAGACGAAGAGCTCACAGATAAATACGCCAGAGACTTGTGGCCCAGTCTGCTCCCTCTTAGAAATCACGGCAACATATTCAAGATCCTGAGAACTTCCATGATTAAAAAGAAAACCCAGTAGACTCTGTTTAATCTAGTGTTTCCCAATTTCCTTTGATCAGGGAACCCTGATGTGTGTGTATACACATAGAGATGTACTTTAAAAAAATAACACCTGTTATCATCTTGCAGCATTAGTATCCTGTGGAACGCACTTGAGAAAACACAGCTCAAAACTCTGTTCTAAATATACTAAAACTCATGTAAACTGGTAGGATTCAAAGAGAGGATTTCTTTCCAAAGAAGTGAAGAAAGAATCAGAGCTAGAGAAAACAGCCCCGAATAAATGGCTTTGGGAACCCGGTCTTCCTTGGAGGGCTGTAGGGAGCGGTCTCTGGTGGGGAGAAGGTTAGTGGGTCCAGCCCTGACCCTGCTGGTTTGGATAATGATAAATGAGGGGCATTTCCAACTTTGGCTGTCATAGTCACGGGCTGAGGTGTTAAGTTCGTCTGAACATCTACTTTTGTAGTAGAACTTGACACCAATGCACCAAGATAAACGTAGTTCTATCTTTCCCAATGCCATTATTTGTGAAAACAAAGTTAAATAGTTATCATGGAGGATGAATCAATCTTAGAAAATAATATTTATTTATAGTACTGTCACTGAGAAATAGATGAGGTCCTGTGGTATAAAATAATTGCTGCTAAAGTTTTGAATTATGGATTGCCTTTATTTCTTCAGGGGTGTATGATTTGATTTATGATATACATTATTACATACTCTACATGTCTTCTAAGGAAGATAATATGCTGCTTTCAGAAAAAAATGCTTTTCTGAAAGTGGCATTGAAAAAATAGATATTGATAAATTTAAAAAATTGGTGCATTGGCCCCTTTCACCTCACCCTGCTTGGCCCTGGGCAGATGACTGGTTAATTACTGACGGGCAGTGCAGCTAAGAGGGTTGCCCTGCCCGGGTGAATACCGAAGGCCCCACCCCCTTACAACCTATCAGCTGTGCCATGACAAAGAAATATGGCCCAAATGAAAGAACACAGCAAAACCTCAGAAGAGAACTAAGTGATGAGATTGACAACCTACCTGGTGAAGAATTTAAAGCCCTGGTAATCAAAATGCTCACAGAACTGATTGAGCTTGGTTGAAAAATGAAAGAACAAATGAAGGATACCCAAAATGAAATAAGGAAACTATTCAGGGAATCAACAGTGACAAGAAGGAAACCAGGATTCAAAGCAACGATTTGGAACATAAGGAAGAAATAAACATCCAACTGGATCAGAATGAAGAAACAAGAATCCAAAAACATGAAGAGAGGCTGAGGATTCTCTGGGACAACCGGAAACGTTCCAATATCTGAATCACAGGAGTGCCAGAAGGAGAAGAACAGCAGCAATAAATTGAAAACTTATTTGAATGAATAAGGAAGGAAAACTTCCCCAATCTGGCAAAGGAAATAGACTTTCAGGAAGTCCAGGAAGGCCAGAGAGTCCCATAGAAGCTGGACCCAAAGAGAAACACACCAAGGCACATCATCATTAAGTTACCTGAGATTAAAGACAAAGAGAAAATCCTAAAAGCAGCAGAGATAAGGAGACAGTTACCTACAGAGGAGTGCCCATAAGGCTAACAGCTGATTTCTCAAAAAACACCTTATAGGCAAGAAGGGGCTGGAAAGGATTATTTGAAGTCATGAAAAGCAAGGACCTACATCCAAGATTGCTCTATCCAGCAAAGCTTTCATTTAGAATGGAAGGGCAGATAAAGTGCTTCCCAGATAAGGTCAAGTTAAAGGAGTTCATCATCACCAGGCCCTTATTATATGAAATGTTAAAGGGACTTATCTAGGAAAAAGAAGATCAAAAATATAAACAATAAAATGACAACAAACTCACAACTATCAACAAATGAACCTAAAAGAAAAGAAAAACAATAAAAACAAAAACTAAGCAAACAACGAGAACAGGAACAGAACCAGAGAAATGGACATCACACAGAGGGAGTTCAGTGGGGAGGGGGAAGGGAGGAATGGGGGGGGTTACAGGGAAGAAGAAGCATAATTAGTGGGCATAAAATAGATGGGGAGAGATAAAAATGGTATAGGAAACAGAGGACTCAAAGGACTTATATGTACAACCCATGGACATGAACTAAGGTGCGGGGAATGCTGGAGCATTGTGGGGGAGGGTGGAGGGGGGATAAAGGGGAAATTGGGAAAACTGTAATAGCATAATCAATAAAAATACTTAAAAATTGGTGCATTGAAGAAACTAAATATTAGAAGCACTCTCTAGTGAATAATGTTTACAAATGTTGAATCCTTTTATAGTATGTAAAATAAATAATAATCATAATGCAGGTAGCGTTTATTATGTATTATGTATTAGGGACTGTTCTAAGTATTTAACCTGTATTAATTCATTTACTCTTCACAATTGATTTATGAAATTTTACCATTATTATTACTTCCATTTCATAGATGATAAAGCTTTATATTAATGATAGCATGATATATATAATGTGTGTATATATACACACATACATATAAGCTTTAAAATCTGTATTATTATATAATATACAATTTTGTTTCATATATAAAGCTATATTATTGTATACTCTATTACTCAAGCTAGTGTATATGTACATATGACTCTGTGTGTGTATTTCACCAATACAGAATAACATCTATAAATCAGATTTTGTACCATGCTACTGGTGCCAAAGTGAGGTAAATATACAAACTCTACTTATATTCCTTCTCCTCCTGATACCAAGGTGCAGAGTGTGAGGTGGTAACTGTGGGTGAGGACATACGATACATATGAAGTTTCTGAAGAGCAAAGTAGGGTCAGAGATTATTAACACACAGTTCTTTTTGCTCGAAACAACATCATCCCTGTGAATGAAGGCTCAGAAAATAAGAGAAGGGAGTGTAGTTTTGAGGTTTACTAAAAATGGCAGCATTTTTTCAAGTTGAATTGGAGCGGACTGACATCAGACTTGTGGAAGGGCTGGGCTGCTGTAGAGGGAGAAGCGAGAAAGAACTAAGGTGCTACCCTGGATCTGAAGAGCGTGTTCCTGTAAATGTGACTTAAACTTAGCGTTGCCCCATCATTTAGCTGGAGTTTCTCCGCTGTTACATTGGGATAGCATATTTTGTGTACTACAAGGATAACTTCGGGATTAAGTTTTCTATCAAATGAAGCATTTTGAAAAGCAAGAGCACCGTGCAAATGCAATTCATTGTATCGTGACTAGTATCAACAATAATTAGTATAAATATTTTTCATTGGTCATGCAGGGCTAATTTAAGGGCTAATAGACCCAGCTGCCTTTAACTGACAGTACTGTTTCTGTGACCATGTGATCGTGTGCCTGCCTGAGAAGCTTTTATGTACCATAGTTTTTACCTTCCTCACAGCCCTATGAGGTAAGTAGTAGCATCCCCTTAACTGGTGAGCAAAGTTAAACACAGAGAGACAAAGCAATTCACCCAAACAGTGATTGCCTCCAGCACCCATGCTCATCATACAGACATTCTGTATTCAAAAACAACGTATGTAGTTGACAAACTAACACACTGTTACATTCAGAATCTACAGTTTAGAAAAGTTCCATTTAGAGTGCAGCATGCCAGTTGGCAGTATGTACCACCATGTGTTTCTTAGCCTCACTCTCTCTAAAAGTCTGAAACTAAGACAAGGAGAAGAAGAAGGCAATGTGTTTGTAACTACAAATGTGACGTTGAGGATTCTAAGTCACGCAGGCACCAGGAAGGAGGTTG